ATCTTATGTAAGCGTACCAAACCATGTGAAACAGAGCGAGAAGATATTATTAGATATGTATTAGTATTGGATTTTGCGTTTTCAATTCTACGTAATGATGAATATATCAGATCAAGATATATGAAATAAAAAAAACATTTAAAACCAGAAACAAAAAAACAAAACAAAACAAAACAAAACAAAAAAAGCAAAACAAAACAAAACAACAAAAACAAAAAACAACAAGGAAAAAAAATAAAATAAATGAAACAACTAGAAAAATAAATAATGAATGAAAGTAAGGGGATGAAAGTGGGAGGTAAAATTAGAAATAATTCAATCATATAAGTACCAGTTATTCTATTCTATTTTGCGCCTTATGCAACGAAATTACCCCCAATGCAAAACGTTAAAATTTARCTTTAAGATTCACGACCAATTAACCTCACAAAAACACTTTTATCCTAGATAGATTTGCCCGAGGTATTTCTTCATAGCTTGGTATATATTAAAGACAATATGTGAGATTTTCTCCCTCGCAAATAGACAATGAAAGTAGGTTGGCATTCAAAAAGTTTAATTTCAGAGATTTAGCCGTGAGCGAAATGATTTTTTTCTACTTTGCCTTTCAATGAATATCTTAARTGGTAGAGAAAATGAAAAATAAGGAAAAGGGCTTTGTTTAGATATATGATATATCGTATAATTTTGTTCATTTGCTGTTTGTTTGCTTCGGCTTTTGATAAATGGAATATTGGAAAGTTTATATGGTTTATCTTAGAGRAGAGGAATTAGGTGGATTAGGGGATGAGAGGATGAGCGGCGATTGAAATGAAGTGTGCTGGAKGAGATGTATTGGACTATGAGGCATGTGTGTATAGACGTCATAAATATATATATATATATATATACACACCTGACCAAAAAAACTCTGCAACTTTACATATATATATATATATATCTTTTGTTTTTCTATTGTTTCGTCCTTCGAGAAAAAAAGACATATATATATATATCTTTTGTTTTTCTATTGTTTCGTCTCTCGAGAACAAAAGACATATATATATCTGAAGTAACAGAATTTTTTTGGTTAGGTGTATATGTAATATATATATACGCAACAGCTAAACTATATCCACTAATTAATTATGTA